ATCACATTTTCTGGATTTACTGTGCATCTGAAAATTCACTGTGACATATATCAAGGCACTGTCTGAGGGATAAATACCGTTGCCTCAACGGCCGTTTGGTGGTGTTTTCATTATTTGTCCCCAGCGCAATCCTATCACGGATGTGACTCAGCCATACAATTGCGCAACTTACAGGAACGAGCCAGAAACTTTAGCTCCGTAACTTGGTTCTTGTTAGTTTCTTTCGGGCGTCTGTTTCGAGTGAAATAAAAATTCCGCTGATACATCTCGTTAGTCTGGTCCTCATAGCAATCGCCTGTTTTTCAGTTCACTTTCCAGATCAGTACTTTTTCTTGTGCTTCGTTTTCAACACACGGTGTGTTTACTCACCGATACGCCATTTATACCTTTAGATGCACTGCTGTACTGAAATCGATCCACTTGCTTTTCCAAATTTTTTAATTACTTTCCAGGTTGTATTTTTCCGTTTCCACTGGGGAGATGTTTGCACGGCTGGTTGCGCTCCAATCAGCGACTGAACACCGTTCGTTCACCTTGCCTTTGCTTCGGTCAAACAAACTTAATCCAGCACAGTCAAATAGTAACCAATCAAGGTGGACACGTGGACGTCCGATCATTTGCTCCGCTCGTTTGTGGCAGTTTATCTGCTTGATTCACCACGTAAATCCGACTCGTCACTCGGATTGCTTACTCCCATCACACCCACCAAACTGGAAAAGTTCAGATGATGCAACATGCAGAAGTGGCGGGTCATTACGGTATCCTCTTCTGGCTAATTCAAATTACTGGGAGCTCACGTATCAGTTTAACAATCAGCGGCAGCACGGTTATATCGTCTGGCTCGTTAGACGATGGATTTTCTGAAGCAGTTTGATTATCCTCCTCTCTTCAACCGAATTCTTTTTCACGCGACGCATGTTAGTCCGTGACCGGTTAGTCTAGAGGCTCCATCCGAGGCCGAGGGTTGAAGCGCGATGACAGCCACTGTCGACGCAAATTCTCTCTCGCTTGTACTATCAAAATTTGGTGCTGAGTTTCTCTTAAACGCATAAGTTCGCCTGTTTGAGCTGTTCTTGAAGAAAGAAACTATCACGGCCAACTAGGATGGATCGACCGCTGTGAAACTGAAGATTTGGCAGGTGCGCCGTCTGTGCTAACTACAGGGTAATCAGCCTCGTCGGTGTCAGCGTTGGGAGGCGCAACACCGAATCATCTCCATTTCAGATACGACCCCTATGATCAGAATGACCGACGTCTATTTCAAACTGAAACGAGGCTTCAATAAAGATTGCTTGTCGCAATTCAACCCCACGGTGGGTACTCCATATCCGACTTTGCAAAACTGCTTTTCGCATGAGGCGAGAGCACTCCGGTTTCTCCCTGAGAATGGACGACATTTACCGCAGCTTCACTCTGCAGCATGTGCCAGAGCAGCGTCACATGGTCCGTGGGTCAACGATAGTTGTGTGTCTCGACTACAAGAGAGCGGCTCACTCAGTCGATCGTTGTGTTCGACCTAATTGTTCCGATCTATTCCAATCGAATATTGAAAGTTTTCCGTGTCGTGTGTTCAAACACCGCAGGCCACGTCAGGATGTACGGCGATTTCTGGCGTTCATCAAGGCTATCTATTTTTTCTCTTTTTATTTCAAGTTTGCTGCAAGCTACTTCTTGGAATATTAAAACAATGCCTAATGGAAAACTGTTTACTGTGCTTTATGCTGACGACATCGTTTTGCTCTTTGATATTTGTGAGACGGCAGTGAACCCTGATTGGGGCGGCTTCATCCTTTGGCACACGCTTTACACCTTCGGATTACAAGGGCACTATCACACGACCAGCAACCACTTTATAATCACTTGAATTTTGTTGTCGAGGATCTGGATAACTCGATTTGTTGGCAATAGGGGTTGCATTTGCTACTTTTTTCGCTTATTAAACTTTGAGCTGCACTGCTTAGTGTTTTACATCTGTGGCGCCAGAAAGCTATTTCCCTCAGTTTGAACCATTATGTTTGGAGGGCTACAGTAAGCGCCCTGTTCCATGAGGATGAGACAGTCACTTTGGTCTAGGGACCTGAGACATCCGCAATTTTTCCTCATTTATTTTCTGCGAACGATTCCTAGTGTCGGATGGCACCAACTGGTCCGCAACGGTGGTGCGCCCAGTTAGGTACTAAGCAGCAATCTTCTGACTAGTTCCTTAGAGCAACAAATAACATATGCTGCATATAACTGATTACCACTTAACGAGGAGGCCTTTGTTTTGTTTGCCGTATGTTGTTGCGGGGGTGTTGACTTGGTAACGGGAAATGACGTCGGTGATGAAGGAATTGCTTGCCTTTGATCGGTCACATCTTCCAGGCTGTTGTCCGCGCGACTGATCCTGTACTTGATTCTGGACCATACTGGACACTGTTCATAACCAACACCAGTAACCATTTTAACATCATCTCCTAATCGGACTATCTGGTTAAATTTTGTCCAATGTTGAAGTGTCTCTGGTGTAGAGATGATTATGACACTGGGTAGTGAAAGCCGCATGGAGGCCATTTTACCTACTGTCTGCATGACATCTGTTTATGACTGTATGCTGTTGACGGGGTGTAAACATCACTGTCCTAAATGTCTACCTAGGGGATTTAGGCTTTACATTAGGTCCCCCTCATTTATATGTATATTTTCACTGTCAACTCCATCATGTATATATGACATCGAAGAATCAGTTCACATTATCGATATACTGCTGTTGATGATGATGGTAATGTTGCGTATGAGATGAGTACGCGAATGCCCTTTGCCCTCCTTATTTTATCCAGGTAATTGCATCACAGCTGGTGGCGGTGTTTGAGATGAGGTCTCACAACGGACCCTAAAGGCCCGCCTTGTATTCATCAGACTGAGGCACTTATGGCGTCATCGCGATGTCAGTCTCAAGCGCAAGGGCAGGGTGTATATTGTCTCTGTCCATGCGATCCTTCTGTATGGCTGTGACCTGGCCTATTCGTTCGGAAGACGTGAACCGACTGTCAGTTTTTGACAATCGTTGCCTACGTAAGATCGCTCGCATGTGGTGGCAACATCACGTAAGCCACACAGAAGTCCGACACGGAGTGCTTGAAGCAAACAGCTCATGCCTCGAAATCATTATTCTCCGACGCCGCATGCGTAGGCCCGGCGACCTACTGCGTATGCCAGCCTATCGCCTTCCCTGCCGAGCGCTATTGGCGCTTCCCGGAGGCTATCGGAAAAAGTGACGCGGTGGACAACCAACGACGTGGCGAAGTAGCATGAAGAAGGCAATCTAAAGCTTGGCATTTATCAGACAGTCCGTCTTCTCGGATGCGGACCACGCGACTCAGACTCCCAGTGGTAGGAAACGCTGGAGGTTATGGTGTACAACGGACACCAGTTGCGACAGTGTTGTTCAACCGCATCATCTATGAATTAATGTCTAATCGAACATAAAAACTCCAAAACAAAACGAAATACAATATGACATGTATAACCCTCCCAAAATATCGTTTTCTTCTGCTATTGTATTTTATTTCCCCTTTTCTGCCATGGTTCTGAAGGCACATTCTCTGTAAGCAGATTTTGAATATATATGGTTGGCGGCATCCGGTTCCGGATTTGCCTGTCACTGTGGCCTCCATAGAACAGCCACAGGAGGCCTACGCCTACAGAGGGACCGTGGGTGGCTTGCGCTGCACCACCCACAGCTCCATCCACGCACCCCATATCCAGGATAAACCCGAAGGAACAAGACCGTGAGGCATGTGGATGGGAGCCACGTTTCATCAGCGGAGCCGGCTCACACTCCTTCAACATTCACAGCAGCAGCATTCCTGCCTATCTACTTTGGGAATCATGCCTACCAGACGTACACAAGACGGTGGCTGGGCCGTAGTCCGCTCCACACTGAGTGCATGGAGCCACTCTTTGAGCCTAGCACGGCCACAAGGACCGTGCACCCCGTCCCCCCAGCAACGATTCACAGTCTCCTGGAGCCAGTAATCATGGTGGAGGGGACGGACAGGTAGCCACCTTGTCAACATGCACATCAAGCGCAGCCACCCTGGGGATATCAAACGACCAACATGGAATTTGGCGGAAAGGAAACACGCAAAACTGACACAGAATATGTAACAAAATAACAGAATTGAACAACCCAAATCAAGTGGAATGTCTTTTATCCAGATTAAAAAGACCTAAAGTTGGTTTAGCCTAATTGCGGTGAAGAAGCATCGTAAATGCAACATGAGGAACCAACAGCTTGAAGGACCATATGAATACCATTGATTAAGTTTTCATACCGCCTGATCAATGAGTTGGTTGCTTTCTGTACAAGCCTCTACGAGCTTTATTCCCTCCAACATTTTGATTCATAATTGTATACGCTCGATGAGAATTATCGAAAATAATATTCTTTGCGCATTTGCTTACTTCTGACTCAAATGGGGATAATTTATGAAAACGAAAGAATATAAAAGAAAATAAACATGCAAACTGGACAGTAAATGTGCGGCATATATATATATATATATATATATATATATATCAGTGCCTGGGCCCGGTTCCCGACATTCCTGCTGACATCATATCTCAGTGTGCCTCTTATTTGCTCACACTTTCTTTTCAGGCCGTACTGCGAAGTTATATGGTACAGGTTTGGGGCATTGATCTGGTTCCATGGAATCCGTCTCATATTTGCTTAGCTCTAGCTGACATGGTTCACTGTCTCTCGCGCCTTTGTGTTTTCCCTGCTTTTATTTCACTTGCAAACCTATTTCCAAACTCTTTTTCATATTTGACAGGCTAGTTGCAACGAAATTGCCTGCAGCTCTATCACAAATGCTTTTTTGATTCCCATATACCTTTCTGAATCCGCCAAATTTTGGCATATATCTTATGCTTGTTTTGATAAATCTAGGCAAACTAGTCTATTTGGTGATCATCTTAAACAGTTCTCATTTCCCTTCATTCATTTTTCCAGTTTAATGCGCGGCTTCCCCCTCCGTCGGGCGTTTCCTTGTAAGAGTTTGAAACGGTTGCTTCCAGATACTTCGTCTCTCCACTTGACTTACGTGACCACCCCATGCCCGAATTCACTGTTTCATTGGCTTCCGAAGGAGCTGGAACCGCATTTTCTGTCCTACAAGAAGCAGCTTCTGGAGGAGTATGATCGGCTTACTAATTCTATATCAAGTAGTATAGAAAACAGTGAAATCAAGTGAGCGGAGTCGCCAATCATCTTGCATCTACTTATATTGCGTAAATATTATCCTACCTTGCTAATGCATCTGATCGTTGAACTGATTCCATTTGAGCAGTTGGCTCGCTTGCCTGGCCTGTCGAATAACCACACGAGAGTCAAACGAAGTTTAGAAAGCGATGAAAAAATCAGTTTTGCATGATCAGTAGGATCAGTTGTACCGTATATGGTACAGACGACCACTCAAGGGACCGACAAAAATGGTCATTTTAAACAAGTAGTTGCTATGGACCGGTTCATGCATAGAGGCATTGCTCATCGGAGAAAACGTTAGGGGGTATTTTTGGCTGGTTGCCATCAATAGGTGGTCGCCATAGCAGGTTGCATTGTAATTGCTGTGTTTTTGCTCCATTCAATTTTAGCTTGCTGTTTTTTTTATTACTGCCATGGTGAGGAAAGTTAACGCGATTGGACAGGGAACACCTTTGTCGAATTGTTGGACACCAGAATACGAGCAAGATATAATGGACCATAATTTATCTTATCCCTGCTCTTTTATTTGTTCTCTGGTTCTACCAATTCTTGTACCCACATCCCTCTTCATAGTGCCTATGACATTGAGCTATCAAGAAATGCAGTATAACTTGTCGAGATGTAAACTACTGCACCAGTCGCTAGCACTGCTAAATTGTAACGTTGCTCATTTTAGACATATTGTCCCCCGTTGGGAGGTACTTCGTCCTATTGCTGAGATTTTTGAAGAGTTAGATGTTCTACTACAAGCGGATGCGGATATTCAGCAACTCATTGCCGGTACGTTTCGATGTTCCTGCACTGCATTTTGGTTATCACTAATACAGGCGCAGGGGTGGGCGTCCTCGCGGTACACAGCCCGCGTGCGACTGGTGGTGGTTGCACGGCAGCGAAGTGCCGTTACGGCATACAGCTAACACATTATTTATTATTAGACTGCCATATGTCGATCACTACTGTCCTTATGAAGAGTTAGGTCGATTGGTATTGGTCTCACTCCTAGAGTTTGGTCTGGTTGCTTTTCTCCCTCCACGTCCTTGTACTACGCGGTCTCGCAATAGCAGCTCACGGTTTAGTTCTTGTTATGTTGTGTAACTGCTCACTCACATACTTGGTTTTTCCTCGTTCATTTCTTCTGATCCAGCTCCCATTGTGTGTATGTGTGTTTACTGACTGCATGTGAAATCCGCTGCTGTAGTTTATGCTCGAACCACGAGTCAACCCCTTTGCCGATGAACTCATCAACACGCATCTACGTTTTTTCCTCTTTGGTCATTCATTTCTGCGCTTCCACACCCTGTCGTTTGTCTGAAACACGGCTGCACATAAGATTTGCAGTCCTTCTATACCAATGGGTGCTATCGAGTTGGATTATTCCCACTAAACGACAAATGTTCGCCCTCTTCGCGATTCACTTCAAATCATTCCAGCCGGTGTGTTCATTACTTGCTAACTTCGCATAGGAATAGTTATTGTACGTAACTCCTGTTTAGAACGACCTTCCTAGAAGTGAAACTTAACTTACTTGAGAGAATATTTTGAGTGTGGTTGTAAGAAGCTGAGCACCCGAAGCAGTTAAATACTCAAAAATGTATAATGTGGTAACAGTGACCACTCGGTTCAAACGGACCGTATCTACTAAATGGCACAACGGCTGCGGGTTAGAATGGGGATGCAGACTATCGGTAGAGTGGAGGAGTAATTGTATCTCACCTGATAAAGACAGGGTACCACAGCGAAATTTTAGTGTTGAATCACACCACTATACACGTCGGGGGTAACCTTATGAACGATTGCCTTGTGTGTGTGTGTTTTCGCTTTCCCTCCAATAATCCATCCGTTTTGCTCACTGATAACTCGATTTGCGTGATTTGTGCTGCTCCGGATACGCTCCATCTGACGAGATTTTAGGCTATTCTCTCTGCTATCTTCGATTTGACACCTCAGTA